GTCGAGGATCTGGACGAGGATGATGCCCCTGCCCCTGTCCCTGCCGCTGCGCCTGCGCGCGTCCACGCGGCGCGGGCCGCGAGGCTCAGCAAGGAGCTGGGCACCGCGCGGCGCTCGGCCTCGTCGGCGCGCGCGTCAATGGCCGCATCCACGAGCAGCTCCCACGTGTGGAAGCTCGCGCGGCGCGAGGGCATGCCCCCCTTCGACAGCGAGAACCCCTTCGACGACGGCGACGTCGACGACTGGTCGAGCGACTTCGACAGCGAGGGCTCCGACGACGACGACGACTCCGACGACGACGACTCCGGCGGCAACTCCAGGTCGACCCAGGCGCGCAACGTCGTCTGTCGGCTCGCGGTCTACACCGGCGGGTCGGGCCGATCGAAGCTCGGATGGTCCGGAAGACGGGCGTCGCGCTCGTCGACGCGGGAGACGCGCCGACGCCCGCCGACACGCCCAGGACGGGCCTGTCGGCGGCCTTTGCCGCCGTCGACGGACGCCTCGTCGTGCTGTCCGAGGCCGAGAACGCCAAGACCGTCGCCGCGTGCGACGGGTGACTCCACGCTCGCCGTCGTCTCCCGCCCCGCGCGTCCCGCGCCACAGAGCACCTCGCGACGATCTTTTAGCAGAAACTCATAAAAAGCGGCTAGATCGACGAGGAATCGGGGTGTTTCGACGGGACAACGGTCCTTTAAGCGCGGCTATGGTTTACTTCAAAATCGAGGTCTGCTGGGGGTCCCTCCGCGTGGCGGGAGCCCTACAACCAACCCAGGCAGTGACTTTTATAGGGAGTGGTACGTGGATGGGCGATCAGTTGGTTCACCTGGTGGAGGCATGCCGGCGGCTTGGAACAGCCCTGTATTGGGCGCTCCGTCGAAGGACAAACCACCCAGAACCCATAGATATAGCTAAGCATGGTAGCCTGAGCCCGGAGGCCACTGCAGGCTCAAAGTATAATACTTAAATCTTACTCATCTAATTTTCATAGCCAGATCATTAGAATATCTACTTGCCTTCTGCTAGTTCAACTACTAGTGTGGCGGGATTTCCGCCTTCAATATCTACCTTTAGCTTAGTTTGAAGCTAGCATTGCAGTGCATGTATCCGCCCTATTTATCTCATTATATCTTTACCCTACAGATACGCGTCGCCGTATCTTTTCTCTCTTTCTTATCTCACATTTAGCGAGGGCTGCCTTGGTGTTATCCAGGCTGATCGCCCGCGCTAGTGCCCCTAGACTATCCGGGGAGATCCGAGGTAATATCTACTTAGTTCTATAGTTGAAGGGCCTTACAATCCTGTGGCAATTGGTCCCAGCTACCGGAACTGGCTTCATCAGAGTCCGAGAGCAGTGAGGGGCTCCTCACTGCATACTTTGGAGGTAGAAGTAACAGTGTGCTCAAACTAGAAAATGGACTGCTAAAATGAGAGAAATCGAAATGTTTGTGGAACAAGCGCGACGCATGATAGCGGACGCGTGGACGGACAGGAATGATCCAGAGAAGGATCACCGTTATACACAACAGTGGGCAGGCCAAAATATCCAACGTATAGAGAAAATGATAGCCTTCGTAAACCTACTTGGTTTTTCAGCGACCTTGGTTCGTGAAGCTCTGCTATACCGAGGACGGTATGAATCAAGTTTGGGGGCCATTGTGGCGGGATTTCCGCCTTCAATATCTACCTTTAGCTTAGTTTGAAGCTAGCATTGCAGTGCATGTATCCGCCCTATTTATCTCATTATATCTTTACCCTACAGATGCGCGTCGCCGTATCTTTTCTCTCTTTCTTATCTCACATTTAGCGAGGGCTGCCTTGGTGTTATCCAGGCTGATCGCCCGCGCTAGTGCCCCTAGACTATCCGGGGAGATCCGAGGTAATATCTACTTAGTTCTATAGTTGAAGGGCCTTACAATCCTTTGACACTAGTAGCACAAGCCAAATGGATATTCCGGGACAAGCAGTCCATTCCACGGATGTACTACAGTGAAAGAGCTTACATTCCTTTACAAGATGATTTTGTTACGCGCTGCGTTTTATGCTAGTGACGTTAATGGAATTGTCTGGATCTGGAAAAGTTACTGAGGATAGCAGCACTCTCAGGTAAGGGTGCAATGTAGCCGGAATCCTAGATTGCCGACTACTGGGATATAGTGAGCATGTTGAAGTACAATGTGAAGGGTAATGAAGAGAAAGTGCAATGTTGAGCGTTGAAGATATGGGAAGACACCTTATCCTCGGGTGGCAAAAAAAAGCCCATATCCCCCCCTAACTAGAGCGGCAGCCCCCTACTTCCCTTCCACCTGCAGGGGCCAAACGGGGCCTAGAGGGAAATGCAGGTCCGGGGAGTAGACTAAGTAGTAGGCTGGGCTCACCAAGAAAGGAGGTGAGAACAAGGAGGAATGCAGATACACGTATATCTTCATCTCGAGATGCTCGAACTGCGCATTGACATAAGCAATAAGAGAGTCAAGCTTGGCAGTGTGTTCTTGCAAGGCAACCAATGCTGCATTGTCGAGGCTGGGTGGTTCCTGGTGTCTTCTTGAATCTGCTTACTCGCAATATACTCAAAGATGAAGCGTCGGTGTTGTTGCCTTTATACCGATCCCATATTCCGCATGGAGCACTATTCAGGCGGGGGAATAGACATTTCAGACGACCAGGGCCAAGATAAAGAAAAAGTCGGCTCTCGGCCGGAGTCTTCGTTCCTTTGTTCGTTCGTTCGTTCGTTCATCGTTCGTTCGTTCGTGCGTTCGTTCATCCTCTCTAGAAGACTCCGATGCGACTCCGATGGAATGGGGTGGTAGGGCCCATAATCCCTTATCGGCGATTAATACGTCGTGCTGGTGATGATGACGGCAATTGAAAGACTGCAATTGAGAGAGATGCCAGAACTTTTTACCTCACTGAGCGCGAGCTCACTGTTTACTCGAATGCTGGCGGTACATATTCTGTGATTTCTTACAATCCACCCAGCATCACCCGCTGCGACATTTAAATATACACTGACCACATCGGAACTCGAGCGGCGTTACACTAAAGGGCATCCGCTTGGTCCCGGTAAATTCTTGCAGGGTATTTAAATTTCTTTGTCTTGTCCCGGCGCTGTAGCAAGGTAAAAGCACGGGTATCAGCTTTTGCATCTGTGAGAGATTTAATAAGACTAGCGCTACGGACCCTGACCTCTTCTGCGTGATAAGCTTCTAGCTGCCTCGATTTTGCACATTGGATTTTGAGCCATCTCCCGCGAACGGCAGATTTCTCATCTCTGACCTTTTCTTGGAGAAGATTGTCTGAAAGAGATGTGACAATTTGGCGCGAACTAAGGGCGGCGTTATCGTTACCAAATGATGACGTCTGAAATGCCCCCATTTTGTTGCCGCCAGTGGCAGAAGGGTGAACAAGACCACAGAATCGTGCGGCTCGCTCTTCAGCTCGCTCCTCAACGTACAAATAACGAAGGCGCTTGTTCATCGCGGACTGGCCCATCCGATTACGCTGGCTGGAGCGATTGGTAGTGTACGCCCTCAGGTGTGTTGCGGCGCTTAATAAGCCAAGACGCGTCTGCACCAATTCCCTCCTGGTGATCCATCCACGCCATAGCCTCGTAAGCTTGAAGCAGGCTGCAGCTCTTATTCCCCTGATTCGAATAACCTCGTACCTGAATATAACGATCAGCTTCCGGACAGTGATGCCACGCCATCTTGACTGAACCAACGTAATGAGGACGTATTCTCGGACTTTGATTCGACGTGCCTACAGTGGTGCAAGAGTCGACATGCCGCTTGGAGCTCTCTAAGCTGGCCTTGAAACGCACAATCTCTCGGACATTTGACTCTACGACATAACGTGGCGGAAGGAAGCCAGTGCGCTCTGCCAGCACCAAATAGTTTTCAAAGAGGAGTCTGACTTGCTCCTTGGACTTGTACCAGAATACCTTGATCTCGCCACCTGGCGAGAGGGCTTTATTCAAGCTAATTGGATGGGCCTTCCGGATATAGTGCAGCTGCGCGCATGTTTGTGCTCTCCGTCTTCCTAGCCGACCCCGAAGGATCGCCTCTATTATTGCCGCACAAAAGTAATTAAGGTAGCCCCACACCTTGGCTCGAGTTCGATGCGCACGTGCACATTGCCGCTGAAGGTAAAATCGATATGAACGCCTACGCAGCCTGGGGCTTCTCAAACCAATATGCCATGAAGCGCGCTGACTGGTAACCCGACAAGAAATGCGGCGGAGTGACGGATCTTGATTTTTTGGATAAGCTCAGCTTTGTTACCAGCAATTTTGTCTAGGAAATCGTGTGCTCCCAATTGAAGATTAGCCGTGGAAGCACAACTAGGACACATACCCAGAACTTCATCATCTGCACGTCTTTTACAAGTGTCCCTGGACATCCGTGCGCCAAAATTTCTGGCATTAGCTGCATCGATGAACATCAAGCTGTTGCACTTATCGCAGGTTAGGTACGGGGTCAAGTAGAACATTGGCCGCTCCAAGTCTGTCTCATCCCCACCACTGCGAAAGGTTTTGCTGAAGGCCTCGACAAGGGATCGATCAGACGTATCGACAAGCTTCGGAGTAACTAAGTTCATACTTGAGCTGCGAGTGAACGAAGAAGGCAAGGCCATCGCCTTCTCCTTGGCTGTAAATTGGATAGCCTGCCAGATAACATGACCGGTAACATTGGACTCAGGCTGATTAAGGAACCGATTGATATTCTTCTCAACATCAACGCGGTGAATCATAGCTGCAACCGCGAGCTCAAACTGACGGGCGCAGCTCGCTGCGGACGCGTTCCGAGCTAGTCGTGTACATATAGGAGCCGTATCATGTACAGCGCAAGGAGCCGTATGATATATCAGCCAGGATATTCAGGACACAGAGAAAGGCTCTGCCCACGGCCGACCCCTGACATATCCCGCCGGCGGGGTATGTTAAACGCCGCTTCAACTTAGGCTGCAACCTCAAACCCTGCACTTCAACAGGGACCTCAACGTGGATGCAAAAAAGCGTTGTATTATGCAGAATCATTTGATCTGAGGCACATAAATAATTGGAATGTTTCCAATAATGCGAATACAAATAAAATGATCTTTCCTCGAAACGCTTTTAGAAGAATATTTGAAAGGCAATTCAAAACTAAAAGTGTAAGTGAAATATGGAAAAGAAGGTAAATACAACCTTTTCATTTTACGAGGGGCTTGGGGTATTTCGGGTCCGCGGAGGGTTCTGGAAGGGCTCTGGAGGGCTTCTGGCACGTGGCTTGGGGCGGGTCGCGCCCCCTAAGGCGTGAGCGGCGCGTCAGAGGTTCCCCGCGAGGCGTGAGCGGCGGTGTTGAGGTCCCTTTTGAAGGGCAAGCGGCGGTGTTGAGGTCCCTGTTGAAGTGCAAGGTTTTAGGTTGAAGCCCAAGTTGAAGCGGCGTTTATTTATATATCCGCCGGCGGGATATGTTAGCGCAGGGGGGCGTCGGTGCGGGGCGTCGGCGGTGTGGCGCACACGCGTGAAACGACGCCCGCGGGCGGAACGTGCGGTCCCGGAACTTCACTGGCAGTCTATGTCGTGGAGGAAGACGCAGAATTTGAGATCGCGGTCTCCCCATCCCCTCGGCACCACGAGGGCACCCGCACGAGCGTCCTTGGCTTCTCCTTTGCCTCATGAGTTCGCCTCGCACGATGTGGAATATTTTTTCG